CTCCCATAAGTGGACAAGCCTCAAACATGCCTGCTTCCTCTTCTCCAACCACAGATGCTTCACCTGGAGATACAGCCATGATACCGACAGCTCAAAGCCGAAGGCAATCCGGTGCAGATAACAAGCAAGTAACGTACGCATCCATTGCCTAGACAAACACACCTGGAGGGACACACATAGGTCCATCTTCAGTACCGAGCACACTTGGAGCAACGCAGCTTTCACCGTCAACTCCAGTGGGGCCTTCTAAACAGCCCAAATTGTCGGCAAAAACTATAAAGCCAACACTCGCTAGACAAAACCACGCTGCATTAACTCTCATGTGCACCAATGTTCACGAGTCCAAACCCAGCACAAGAAAAGGCAAGTTGCAAGACGATCGCAACCAGTGGAGTTCCATCTACGAGGCGATTGGTAGTCGGGTTGAGCTTGCTATGCTGCAACGCGTAGCGCATCACCCGACCTCAGTGCACTCTGGTGAACCTCGAATACTTCGAGTGACACTAGACTCAGCAGATGAGACAGAGGCTACCCTGCTCTCAGCAGTTCGTCTTCGCAACTCACCGAGCGAAGTGTGCATATTACTTGATCTACCTTGGAAAGATCGCCCAAAAGAACCAGTTGACCAAGGCGGCTTCCATAATAGTGATAACAAGAAAAGGATATTTGTTCATGGTGTTTCAGAGCTTCTGCATTCTTCTGATCACGATGCGCAAACACATGACCGAGAGCAGTGGTGCTACATCCCCGGAGCACTCTCTCTTGACGATATTATTAGTAAATCCTTGAAAAGAGTTCCGTCATCACCTAAGTTCAAGGGTTGCGGTCCAAGACTAATAAAAGTAATACTACACTCCGAGGGAATGAAGTAAGTTCTGTTGGATAACTGGTTAAATTTTCGAGCCAGGTTGCCAACACAGATCCGGTTAAAAGCAGCAGACGAACGGCCAAGAGCCGTAAGCAATTCGATGGAAATTGCAAACGCTGCAAGTTCTTTATCTGCACAGTCCTGCGCAGAGGTCGACACAACAGCACCCATGGCATACAACAGGACAGAGCACAGCACGAGTGAAACGTCTGTTCAGGAACGCTCAATAATGCCATGCAACTTGACTGGAATTCATAAACCAAACAACGATTAATGACCGGCTACTTAACGACCGGTTTTAAAACTAACACAAAGTTGGCATCCATCAACGCACTCCTAACAACAAAACCCTATCTTGTATGCACACAAACGCCCAAGGCCTTCTAAGTAAATTGGCCGAACTTAGCGAACCCCAATGACTCACAACCGCGGGACCTCGTCAAGATTACAGTGATTTGTTAAACCTTGAGATAACCGATTCTGAGGTCAACTTACCCGGTATGTCGCTGCTTCGGAACGATAGATGTGAAGTTATCGATCACCCAGAAATCCGCGCTCCTGATTTGCGTTGGTGCCGCCTATGGTTGCGAAACAAGGACACATGTCTACTGGCCGTGATTTGCAGCCCACCAAACTCATCGTCGGAAATGGACTCCAAACTGAACCACGTCGTTCAGTTTGCTTCGAACAAGTCCTACACCCACATTTTTATCGCTGGAGACTAAGGTGCACGAGACAGAAACGTCAGCAACAGAAGGTACGCAGTTTAAGGCTTGTTTGCGAGAGATAATTGCTAGCCACCCACTGTGCAACCACGTAGCCTCTCCCACGAGATTTCGAACTGCTAACAAGCCATCGATACTAAATCTTGTGCTCACTAAAGAAGAACTCATGGCTGACGGGAAAGCTACAAGCACACTGGGCCGTAGTGATCATGTCACTCTACTCTTTGACTAGATATACTATGCGGAGTATCCTGAAAAGGAGGATGATAAAGTGCATACTGTCACGCACTATAATGTGTTATCTACGCTTGTCAAGGGTACATCTTGGACTTTCTTAACCGAATATCCTCAGATGTTGCAAGTTGATAGCGCACGCATCGGAACAGAAGACCATCCAACCTAAAAACAAGCATTAGTCGTTTTCGAAGAGCAGAACACGTAAATGTATGTCCCGGAGAGGTTTGGCATGGTGAGCTCACAAGGACGGCTCGAATGCCGAAACCTGGACTGCATACGTGACACATCGTCACTTCTGTGTGAAACTGATCGGCGAAGACAAGGTCACGCATCAGCAGGAGTTAAGGAAGCTATTCTGCACGAACCGCAAACTTCTGTATAGGCACGTTAACGGCCTTCGAAAGGTGGAGCGAGGGATTCCAGCACTAGTCACGGCTGATGGATGTACGCGATCAGCAATGGAAGCAGCCGATATCCTACGGCTTCATTACTCCCAAACTTTCCAGCACGTAACGAGCCCAAATATTCTCATCGTTTCTATTACTCCACCGTCGGGTTTAGACAACATCATCTTCACTGCGGAAGCTATGTTAAAGAAGTTCTCCTTGCGTATCCACAGTTCTCCTGGAGTCGACAACATCCGTGCAAAGGCTCTGCAGGCGGTAGCTAGTGATCTAGCAAAACCACTGGCTGTTTTCTATCAGCGATGTCTAGAAGAGAACCATATTCCACCACTATGGAAGCGAGGGATCATCACTCCTATCCATAAAGGAAGTAGCCGCACTGACCCTACCAACTACCGTCCAATAACACTAGTTCCTGTGCTATCCAAAGTTATGGAACCAATTATCGCAAATGCGCTGATGCAGTATCTGAAAAGCCACAAACTAATAGCTCCAGAGCAAAATGGCTTTCATCAAAAGCGTTCGTGTAATACTAACCTAATAAGTGCACGTAATAGCTGGACTATGGCTATGAATGATGGGGCAGGAGTCGATGTCATCTACCTGGACTTCTCAAAAGCGTTTAATCGCTTAGACCATCGGATTCTTCTTCAGAAGCTTCGGAATTACGGTATTAGCGCCTCAATCCTGAGTTGGATTAGCAATTATCTACACGAACGATGGCTAGAGGTAATAGTCCGAAAATCATTGTCCGATGCAATCGATCTGGTGTGTGGTGTATCACATGGCTCGGTGCTTGGACCTCGTCTATACTTGGTGTTCATTAACGATTTGGCGAGATCAATTGCTTCCGATTTCTTATTTTTCGCTGATGGTATCAAGATATGGCGAAGGATCAGAGGACCGCACAACCACGAACGGCTCCAGTGCGTTCTTAACACGGTGTCGAATTGGTCAGTTCAGAACACCCTACCATTCAACGTAGACAAATGTCGCGTTGTGCAATTACATCATAGACACATTAACGAAAGCGGGGCTGATTGGCTCGCGGTACAGAGAATGGATAAGCCTTTATGCATAGATCCAGCTGAACATCAATCAATCTTAGCACATCCTATCACATACAAAGGTAGCCAACCGCTCTTAGAAGAACTAATGTACTTTTCATGTCATTTGTTTAACCCGAAATCCGGATTCACAATATTGCAACGCATACAAACTTCATTTTTCTGTCACGCTGAAAACGCTGTGACATGTCCGGTATGTTGTGCATGGTGTCGACAATAATGCTCGATCCACCGCAGAGTTTAGTGAAGATAAGTCTATCGATTCCACCTTCCGGTCCTGTCTCAGACCTATTCAGGCTACCTCATTTCGACATACCTACAAGTACTTGTTATTGGCAATGGTTCCGAAAAGAGACTAAATTGAAAGCATGTATCCACCCGTCTTCCTCTCCTCACTGCATGAACAACATTGCAAACAAGATCCGATTACCTCAGTGTTGCCTTGTTGCTAATGTGTTGTAACTGTCCCCCAATGGTTGTAACGCTTTTGCTTAATCCGGTTTTCCATTCGAAACGAAAGATTCGGCCCTTGCGAACTGTGTCCCGCACTCAAGAATAGCTGATCGAATTCGGATTGATATCCTATAAGGCTTAGTCGCTCAGCGATTTCTATTTCACTGTACTGGGACGAACAGGGACCACGCACGGCTGCTCGCGAGCCCGATAGAAAAAGGACAGTAACCTTCAGCGTAAGCGTCTGTGCAGGCTTACTCAAAGGCAACACACGGTATGAACACTTTAGTTTCTACAGCAAGGCTGGACTCCTTAGGGTAATGGGGCGTAATCGCCACCGACAGAGCGGATCACCCAGTCGGCGACCTGGTAACTGTCTCTTGGGAAGAATGGACATTATTGCTATTTGACAAGGTTGTCACTGATAATTCATTGCCTAAACGTCCTACAGCAACAGAATGATACAGTTAGTGGTCGGTAAGAGGCATTCGGTGTGAAACCATGAGGTCTCCACAACCTAACGGCACGCTGCACGTCTTTTAGCTGATGCAATACACGCGCTTAACCATGTTTTTCGCCAAAATATCACCTATTCGGCAACAGATGGTGCCAAAGGTAGAATGATAGGTTAGAACCGTTAGTAGTAGTCATTTTTGGGAAGCAGTAGTTACAACTTGTAGTTGCTGTCGTCAATGAATGGCACCATGATTTCATGATATGTGGTGTGCATCATTCCACTCGCTGTTCCAAACCATGCGCCCTCATGGCTCGTTCGAATAGTCGACGTGATGTATCAAAAAATATTCAAAAAAGATTTCGCTGCTGAAAACGTTCACCTCAGTGATGTGTATGGGTTCAGGACGTCTTAATTGCCATTGCTGTCGGACGGAAATTTCTGAAAATAAATGCAGTGAAACGAAAGTCTAATGCCATGGGTTGACGTCGTGAAGGACGTCCTTCAGAGATGGGTACAGCTACGCATTATACAATTCGGCTCATAGTATAAAGTGCATTCCCCACGTAAAGTTACCGGACCAGCTGGGTAGCAAGTAAGCCCCGTTGCCTAGGCAGATACCTTGAGAAAGGCGAGGGATTAATCAAATGCACTCAAAAACATAATTAGCTATTACTGTGGAAGAGCTGATATATAATAGAGCAGACGTGAAGCGTCCAGTTCTTAAACAATTGACCGAAAAGTCCCTTATCGTAATTCTGCGATACACGTGGTCAGGGATTCTACGATTACCTGGACGTGTGACGGACTTCTCGGTACCACCAACTGGAGAGAAAAAAATCTCAGACACCGGGTATGGAACGTCCTTTTCTCTAGTGTCTTCGGGTTGTGATGGCGATCTCCTTGGCTTGGTTGAAGAATGCGTTTCCTTTGGTGATTTTATTCGGGACGGGGTATGATCCGTCGCCTCTTCACGGGAAACCGAAGCCTTACCGTCCCTTTCTGATGCCAACTTTTGATCAGGATGAGGTATATTTTTGGCCTTCAAGGGTTTGGATACATGTACCTGTGTGGTGGAATCCACTGTACCCAGCGCACGAATACCACGCGAATGATGATGATGATGGTGGTGGGTGGTATCGGGAAGCCTCGACGGTCCTGGTGAGATTTCCACAGGTCGTACTCTGGTTTGTTCCTCCTCACCTTTTGATGTATTCTCTTTTCTACAGGGTTGTCGCGAGAACAGATTGGATAGAAAATTGGAATCGCATCTACAATAACATGGCTTGGATACATGTAAGGGATAATAGTCTCATACAGTCATAAAAACCACATTAAGAGAGCTTGACAAATTTCTCTGGCCGGTTAGATTGCATTTTTGAGCCGTGCTTCGTCAGATGACCGATTTGATTTGACGAAAACACATTCTAATCGAGATGGCTTATCCAGCTATGGCCTAGGTGTTCCCACATCTAGCTAACGTGCATAATGATAGTGATGATAATCTAGGGTTTGGGGTATTGCCTATAGTACAAGGCCATTATAACCAAGCATGATGTAAGGGCATGGGAGTAAGGTGATTGCTACCGTCAATAATAGGCCCAAGAGCATGTACTTTGCAGTTGAGCGTCAGTAATAAAAGCTGAAAGCTTGTGATCCACGAGGTTCCACAAATGTGATAACGATGAGCTGTGCAACACAAAGCTGAAAAAATAAACACTGGTGCTAACTAGAAGTGATGGACAGTTAACTTGTACTACCGCCTCCTTCAGATATAACACTTCATAACTCTCCGCCCAAAGTCTGGTGCCTAGCATGGTGCAGTTGGGTGCACCGCACTGAGAATCTAACTGCCATGGCTCGCATTGTTAGATAAAAATAACAGTGTATGAAAAATAAGATCAACAGGCATCGAAAACACAACATACGAGGGGTGTTCAAAAAGAAACAGAACTTTTGAAACAGAACGGCAACCTGCAGAGGGCGCGCCCTGCGGCTACTGAGCGCATCTTGAGACTTGCTTCGACCACAAACTGCCATTTACCGCATTTCGCTTCTGACTGCTGATTGGGGACCTACAGCTTCTGAAGTGAACACGTGTACAAGCTGTTCTTCGGATTAGTGTTAGAGAGACAATGAAAGAGATTGAGGAACAACGCGTGTGTGTAAAATTTTGCAACAAATGGTAAAACTTTTACAGACATTTCAGTTGCTTAACCAAGCATATAGGGAGGACTATATGAGTCGCACGGAGTGCTATAAGTGGGTTAAGTATTTTGAACACAGCAGAATATCGGTCGGTGACGATCCCAAGTCTATATGACCTTCCACATCAACAAACAATGACCATATCCAGAGTGCTCGTGCTGCGAGCCGTGAAAACCATCATTTAACTGTATGAGAAGTTGCTGCCGAAGTAGGCTTCAGCGTAGCGCGTCTGAGGGATGCTATGCACAGGAAGAGGCCTGAACTGTGGGAAAACCAGACTCGGATGTTGCGTCATGACAATGCACCGGCTCACGCATCGCTGCTTGTCCGCAGCCATCTAGTAAAATATCACACTCCCGTTGGGCTTCATGCATTGTATTCTCCGGATCTTGCCACCGCAGACATTTTCCTGCTTCCTAAACGTAAAACCAGGTTGAAGGGAGGTCGTTTTCATACCATGGAGGAGGAAAATGCGACAAGAGACCTGCGTGTCATCCCATAAATGGCGTTCCAGGAGGCTATCCATAAATGGAAGCATAGAGGGGAACGGTGTATTACCAGTATAGTGGACTACTTTGTAGGGGAAAGTGCGTAAAAAATTTGCGCAATGGGTAAAGAAGATTTACAGCAAAAGTTCGATTCTTTTTGAACCCCTCTCGTAAATAGTCCTCTAAAAAATACACATGGTCCTGGTTTGGTGGACGAAACTATAAATTCCACGAGACAAAGATCAAAAACGCCATCAACAACTTGGCTGCGCTATGCCGGAAAATCTCCCCAACCACTGGGGTGGCTGATATGGAGACCACCAATATGACCTATCTCGGCATTGGTATATTTCATCTCTTTTACCTTTAGAATCGTCGTTTAAAGGCGCCGAGTTTACTACAGTATGTACGATGTATGGGATCACATTGTCTAATCCAGCAAAGTCGCGCACTTCCAATGCCACAGATTGCGCGCCTCTACAAAACCCGAGCAGTTCCCTCGGTTTTTTGACCATCCAGTTGGCAAACTGCGTGCAACCGCAAATGCGCACCTGAATGTATCTGCGTTTGGCGCACGCACAATTGCATCCGGAGCCATCGAACCTGCCTGTCAATTGTCCACATACCACCGCGAGGAGCGAAATCGATGGCAAACAACAGCCGAAGAGTTGGACATGAAGCCAACGAAAAAACCCATGGAAATTAAAGACTACTGCGAGTTGATCAAAAATAGAGCAAACGAAAAACTTGTGTTTGTTTAGCACACGCCGAGTTTTTCTCCATTGTCATGCTCACTATTCTGTGGATTAAACAGGCGAATCAATACAATTCTGTGCATAGATCTTCCACTGCTTAACGTTGCAGGTCATGTCTTCAAGTGTTTTAAGCCACTGACACTATTCATCAATTGGTCACCATCCAAAAAGCCGACGGGTCCAAGAGCGGCAAGACGCGACTTTGGGGGTTTCATGTGCTGTGGAAGTCTGATCACCACGTCGTCGCTTCCAATCCGGTCTTGAAGGAGTGAATAGAGCGCGACAGGGCAAACGCTCAGGCGCCATGCGTAGAACATGACTGAGCCATCACAAATGGCGCAGTAAAACCAGCTTGTTGAAGGGAATAGTTGCATTCCCCAGGACGCGCCGTCTAATGTCATCACTGTGAAATCAGTGTTGCCACCAAACAGGAGCGATTTTCCGCAAACAGTCGTTGCCGAAAGTCAAACGAAGGCACATGTCCTGCCCGCGAATCGGCCAGGACTCCCAGCCATACAACAACAATGAAGAACAGAGGTACTGTAGACCCTGCACTTAATCGATCGCGATTGAAATGTCCCAACAACGTCATAAATGCTTCAGATTGGCAAATACTGGTCGGACCATAGCGATATGAAGAGAAACTCCCTTGTTGATAGTTCCGCCGGCAGAAACATAGCTCCCAAGGTAGACGAAACCATCTACCTGTTCAAGTTATGCAGCTTCAAGGGTGAGCACAGGAGCGGGTGTGGGCCCATCCTGGATCATTACTTTACACTTCGGTGGAGCGAAGTTCACAACATACTTAAAAGCTTCAGTTTCCAAACGATTCAGAATGGGATGCACATTCGGTGTGTCATCACCATATCATTAGCATAGTCTAAGTCGGTCACTCGCTCACCTGGCAGAAGCTCTAGGCCAGGATTTTGGAAAGCGTCTAAAACTGTCTACAGGGCACTTTCGATTGCAAAGTTGTAAAGGAATGAGGACATAGGGTAGCCATGTCGCACACCGCTCTTGACAGCGAATGGTGTGTAAATCTTGCCATAGTTCCCCAAATCTGCCAGTGATATGAAGGTAAAGTGCGAGTGGGATGGCGATATACTTCTCTGGCACCCCGTTCTTCAGCAAGCAGCGCCATAAAGCAGGTTGATCAACCGAGTCAAATACAGCCAGTGAGTCTAGGGAAGCGACGAGAGTGGGCCTGTGGTAAATGTGGTGGTGTTCTGGGAGTTGGCGAAACATGAAAACCTGATCCATGCATCCACGGACGGGACAGAAACCAACTTGTTCTTCACGGTAATATGATTCACGCATTGGGGATAATTTACGAAGCAGAATTGATGCCGATAGTTTGGAGACAACCGAAATGAGGCTAATCCCTCGATGCTTGACACATGAAGTGCGTGCTCCTTTCTTGCAAACCGGGACAATAACTGATTCGCCCCATGAGGAAGGCACTTCTTTTCATACCAGATCCTGGTGAACAACGAAGTCAACTGCTTAATCATTGCCACACTGGCGTACCTGAATAGTTCCCGAGGAAGTCCGCCTGAGCCCGCAAACGTTTTAGGTGTTACTTGATCCTGACACTGCAATCCATGACCAGTTGTATCCTTGCTTAATCGTGTCAACTCGAGAGATGACCGGAGTTGCGTATGGAACACGTCACGTAGCACTGACAGCTGACGCCTTGAGTATAAGACGACCGAGATTCGCCAGTATCAATGAATAGTTTGTACTTAACGAGCAGGTCGACTGTTTTGGCAGTTTTTTTTTTATCAAACTACGATGTGAGAACCTGAGTTTTACTTACTGTTGGGTCATTTTGAGGCACTCGTTGTGTGACGCGCAATCTCAATGCAGACTTCGATTCACAATGTGGTGAACCTTGGGCGATTCGATCACTGGGACAAGTGTTGCCCGTCATGACCTGGTGACCAAAGCAGTAGAGATCCCAACCAACTTTCCAGTGGTGCCAGGTTCGATGACTGCTATCTCTACCTGATAAGATCCAATAAGTTCGAAACAGGTCATGGAGTGCAGTAATTTCGGGCGTGCAATACCCAACATCGAGTTGTGCACATTTTCGTGAGTAACGCCTGGTAAATGGGCGCAGTGAGGTTAGGTTCACCACTCGATTATTTTTTGAATCGCGTTCTATGCGCTAACAAGCGACTAAGTTTGTATATGTAGTGCGGTGATAACTATGAGTACGTTGGGACACACGGCTGTTGGGTGCAAATAGTATGAGCCAAACTGCGCAACCTGTACGAGTTGAACAAGCCTTTCAGTGCTACGCCAGTCTGTCTGGTATCGGACGCTAACTGGTGCACTCGGTACTGATTACATCAGACCCAGGCAATACTCTCCGAATGCCGGTGATTAGGGACTACCAGTTCCCCGTGCTAAGGGACCATGTCTGAATCATACAGCAACTTTAAACGTACCACAATCCTGTACACACTGCCTGTGACGGATGAGTGCATATACTGCCGCATCTGTGAATGATTGGGACGTCGTAACACCACATGGCCTTTTTGATGGGCGCAGCAACCGCCTCAGTGCCCTGTCCACTTGAGGGAGTACAGCTACTCTGATAAATTAATGATAGACCGATCTGAGTAGCCGTTGGGTGATAGGACTGGTGGTGTGTTGACAGTCCCGTAGCAATGTCTTGCAACCTGAGGCAGACAGACGCATGCCATAAGTGAACAAACGGTGTAATTCCTCGATACTACTTTGCGTTAGTATATTCGACCAAGCTTGTGTGAGGCAGCGTTCGGCCCCGAGGCGGCTGTCATCCCCGTACTCTGCGTGTGTTAAGCTGTCAGTTGCCAGGGCTTCCACTTCGAAAGGCACAAAGATGGCGGAGTTAGTAATGATCAGTTCGATCACAGAGTTGAACGAGAAAAGTGGTATGGGGTAACCTTCATGCATCCCACTCATCGCACGAAGCTGTGAGGTAACATCCTGTAAACAAGTACCCAACTACTAGGTCACTATAGGAAGAGTATAAAATAACACAAACTTATCGTGAACTCTCAAAGGGCAATTAGTACAACGAACCGGTGTAATTACAGGAAGTGAACTCTGCCTTCAAACAAAGGATGACAACCATGGTGGGTCATTTGTATGTAGGTGGCTGTTCCAGGGCCGACAAAGTGCAACTATTCGATTAATGTATCCTATTCTGGGTAGGAATCCGTACTGAATTTCACCGTTTGCGTTTTCTCGAGTGGCATGATGACTTTGAACAGCCTGGATGAAATGCTAGGAAGGCGCCTGCTTCGAGTTTCTTCACACAGCAATCTGTGAAGTGGAGGGTTTCTGTGTGGCTCTCCCATTACTGCATTCTACGATCGACAGTTTCGTCCTGATTTGGACTCATTAGGCAGATAGCCGGGCTGGGAGCGGAACTAGGCGCACAATGCTCGGCGTTTATCGCTATGACCCCTAGGCCATTGAGCTCCGCGAGCAGTGCTTGACATAGCGGTTAGAAGTTCGTTTCTGGGTTTTTGAGCACCTGGCCTATGTCTTGGATTACGACACGCAATCCGAATTGTAGCCTCAGATGACGTTGAAGTTAGCCTATGCCGATACGGTCATTGGGACCGTCACCGAAGTGCAGTGTTTCGGTGTGGCTCCTTCCCATTTCTGCACTCCACGACCGCCACTGTGTCAATCACAGCTCGCGGAGCTCAATGGCCTAGTAATCATGGCGATAGCCGCCAAGCACTATGTACCGAGTTTCACTTCCAACTTGGCTGTCTATACCTGATGAGTCCAAACTAGGACGATACCAGCGGTGGAGGAGTGTAGGAATGGGAGAGAGCCACAGCGAAACCCTCCACTTCGATGATAGTCCCATTGACCGTATTGGCAGAGATTGACTTCAGAGGTAACCGAAGCCACAACTGAGGTTGTGTGTCGTAATCCAAGACACACGATAGGTGCTCCAAAACTCGAAAAGCAGATTTTTATAAAGATTTATGAAAGCAACTCACAACCACCAGTCTTACGGCACTTACTCGGCACAACGTATGGTGTGCAACATCGAAAACTAATTACCATCGCTCTGCGGTAACGAGGGAGAAATTTGTTGGTCCAGCTGCCTTACTCCTTTGTAAGCTAAAAACTTGTTGCCGAATCCATTAGAAGATGGTAGGTATGTTCTCAACCTGCCAAGTGGGGTCAGGTGATTCGCAAATGATAGGGTCTTATCAAGCCCGCCGAACTGTGTCCCGTATCGTAAGTGAGTTTAGTTAGAGCTTTAAATTTCTTCGGCTATTGTCTCACTAACTGAGAACAGTCTTTAACCTGTGTCTGGAATAATCTGGAGCGGTCCCCCGGCTATTTGCTTTGGCTCCGGCTTTCCATATTCCCCCATCGTCTATACATACAGACACCAGTCAATCCCAGGCCTCACAGTTAGTTACCGTTTCAGAGTTCTATGGATAACGTGGAATCGTATCCCCGATGTGACCATAATTTACATCAGCCAAAGTAACTAGTATCTCAGAAATGAATCCAGTATTCGGATACCCTAGGTTGGGTGGACAAGCCATTTTGAGAGCCGCATTCATGACAAGTGTGAGAGGACCGCTCCCAGCATTCAGTTCATCCGTCTCACACCTGATTAATCGGATCGCATTGGTATTGCTGAATTCCGGACACTCATGCAATCGTTCATCCAAATATATTCTGATTGTTGACTGGATCTAGATTCCCATTGCCATGGTACAACTAAGTCACTCGACCAGGCAGCCTCAGCGCGCAACGCTAGGAACAGCCCGAAAATATCTGACTACTGTTCACACAACCATGCAAAAGATGAGGAGACAAAAGGAATTCATCTAGTCCGAAGATAATGTCACTATCCGTGGACCCTAGAGATTACAACAAGGATTGTTTGGAGCATATCTCTTGGTGGTGGGTGGTGCAGGAGACATCCTAAATGACCTCCATTAATCTGTTCGTGATCACCAAAGATGTGCCACGGTGATGCGCAACGGTATCGCAGCAAGTTAACTTGAACGGGTGGCATGACCATTCATTGCAACTTCGTGCTCTGAAAAATTACAAGTAGTAATTAATCACAGTAGGTCATTTGAGTTTCACATAAAGCATTAAAACATTGGGACACAATTCAAGGCGGCTAGCTCAAAGATCAACATGTGAAAACACTCAGCTGCGCCAGATGGATGGCACATAATTTGACTAGAAATTATGCCAATACAATGAGTATGCCAGCTAGTTGTGAACAAGCCATTCAACGTCAGCTGCTTACTGTGGAGGGTGTCTCCGCTTTGCTTTGCGTTTTTCCCGTTCACAGTACTTATCCGTCATAGAATGGACGCAAGGATCTGGAAATACTGTGCAGGTGGTATCGTGCGGTACTTGTTTGATGAAGCGAGGTTGATCCGGATGTCCACTTCTCCCGTACGGTGATGTGGATGATTGACGCTTTGATGCCAACGAGCGCTCAGATCTGCCGCTACGATGTGACGGCGCCATGACTTCTTTCCCCGCGACGTGGTGGTGATGTGAATGGTGCGAAGGATAAGGTGCTATATAGGGTGCATACGGGTATCCGGAAGCTGCGATTGGCATGCGTGAGCCATGATGATATGGGACCTGAGCAGCGTAAAACGCTGATTCACCGTGATAAGGGTAACCAGCTGCAGCCAATGCAGCCGCATGTTGTTGTTGGCGCCGTAAATGGAGCTGATATTGTTTCACGTCCACCGATTTTGGACGTTGCAGAACCACGTAAGGAACATCCTCCAACATACCAGTGGCAGTGTCCAGATCATCCAGGAGCACTGTGTCTTGAGCAGCCTGTGTTACCGCCATCTGCTGACGCGAACGTGTGCGTTTTGTTTGACTTATCATCTCGGGTGGCGTTTTCTTTAACATATTGGGTCGGTGAGCAGGATGACCAGCATGATGTTTGCCACAACCGTAGGTGGAATCGGGCACATTACGTGATGCGTTGTTGCTGCTACTGCTGTCCAGGCCACTGAGGTGTACCCCACACGGTATCGAACGAGAAAGCGCATTAGCATGTCCACAAGTGTGGGGTAACATAATCCTTTGATGAGATGGCCTCGCCGGAAGTGTGTCTAATGGTAGCGAAGGTAAGCGCATTGGGCTGTTGTATGCCGTCGACCGAAATGGTGACAGCCGCTGTTCATTCGTTGTGGGTGGTGCTGAGTGAGGGCAACCGGGTTTGTGTCGCCTACTGTGTTGGTCATTAGCACCGGACTGGATGACGTCCGGCCTTAAAATGACACCTGTAGCGCTATCTGACCCGCTGGAGCTCCACTGATCCATACGGGTGCTCGTAGCCAACTCATGCGGACGGTCTGCGTTGCCTCGGTTATGCGTGAAGGACGTGACAGGGTAGGCCACTGTGGTGACACCGGAGACTGGCATCTGGTAAAAGGAGTGATTGGAACCCATTGAGAAAGCTTGTTGGAAGTAAGGATACAAGGTGTGAAATTACATGCAGTAATCTTGAGAAACTTGTAGTGAAAAGCGCAGTGGCAGTAACTTGAATGTCTCTTCTGAAGCAGTTAGGCGGGAATTAGGTTATCGACAAAGACCAAACCACAACAAGTTATCCACTAGGCAGTCATGTCGGAGAAGATGTAGGACTCGAATGAACGTGGCACTCAGGTAGGTCTTGCTGTACCTGATAAATATTTTCGCATTAAGCCGTAGTTAAGAGGCGCATACTGCGTACACAATAGGTTTACTTGCTATGACGCATCACATACAACGTAATTGGGTAACATAGACGTTCGGTTTGCAATCTACCCTCCATTACCTATGCGACTGAGTGAACGAGTATGTATGATAGCCAGGAAAGAACCGGTTGCTTAGATTCGAGTCAAAAATGTAACAAGGCAAGGCAATCGAGGGAGCAGCTTCGATACAATTTACGAACAGCAATCGTGTACTTTGGCAACAAAGGCCCTCAGGAGGCCTATGGCGGAGTGGCCGTGCTACGCAGTAAACTGTGCGTGTTCCTTTAGTGTTATCAAGATGAACGGTGCATATGCACATTTGTTGAAGACGCAAGATTGTGGAGCCATGCACCAAACAGGTACTCTAGTTTTAAGGAAAGTGATTTCCGTATGTGTCCAGAGATTCAACTGGTTACTTTAGTGCTGAGGTATTCAGTCTTGAGCGTCACTACACATCCTTGTTGATGCGATGAAATCGCCAGTTTTTCCTACCATTGCTCAGCTACTAGAGAGCGGCTTTTGTTCTAGGATTTCAGAGATAATTCGTCGCAGTTCCCTCTCAGTCAGCAGGCTTTGACACGTCTGGAAAAGCATCAAAGAGCGCTGTTACGACCTACTAGGTCTCATCAGTGGTGCGCCTTCTTCGGATCCCTGCCAGGTTTCAAGCCCATGGCTTCTGGATACCACCAGCTAGTGCCACTAAGCCATGGGTGACGGCCGCGTACCTGCATGACTGACAGTTAACTACGATATGGCCCGGCTCATCCACCACTGTCACGCCAGTTACGAACTGTACAGAGGAGCGTAGTTGGCCCCACGAGTTAGGAACTTTCCGTAGAGCGACTGTTCGTAACCAGTATGACAGTGAAGAATGCGCCGGGCCATATCGTAGTCAACTGTCAGTCATGCAGGTACGCGGCCGTCACCCATGGCTTAGTGGCACTAGCTGCTGGCATCCGGAAGGCATGGGCTCAAAACTCGGCAGGGGATCGAGGAACGCATACCACTGAGGAGACCCAGAATCTAGAAACAGCGCTCTCTGATGCTTTTCCAGGAGTGTAAAGCCTGCTGCCCGAAAGGAGACCGCGACGAATCACCTCTGAAAGTATACCAAAATCCGCCATACTCACTAGTGTTCTAGGATCTACACACCAGAGACGATGTAGTGAAATACGGTGAATGTGTTTGCGCCTAGAGCCGTCTTATGATGTAGCAATAGATATGCATTGTAGGGCCTAACGCACTTAAAGTGATGATTTGGTCATTCAGTGTGGGTGAGAACAGATGATGCGTGCCTTCCATTTTTAGGTGTAAAACAAGCCAAAGTATGGGACGCTTTGCAGCACTCTAGACATGTGTACTCGCGCATCGGCCGAGACCGAGTCCGAAAGAACTACATTCTCGGCGCGGTGGAAGTTTGTTAGATATATTACTGGTCAATGTAGGCTATCAGTCCAGAAGACAACCGAATCCATCACTTGTATGACGGAACGGTTCTCACCCGTTCCCTTGTGAACTAACAGTCTCAACTTTCGACGGGATCGTATGAGCTTCATTGCTCCTCTTCCGCAAGTCGGAGGATCTGGTGTGGTAATTGGCTATCGGATCTGGGATGAGAATCAATGTCACACACAGCTCAACACCACTCATTTTGATAGTGTGAAACCGAAGATTGATGAAATGGAGTAGGTAGCGCGTATTTGTCCATCCTAGTATGTTCTGTCGGACCCAGGGAATACGGACGCGCAGTAGCAACGATCCACGGCCCGGAAATTGGACTATCGTCGTTCACTACTCCTAGAGTGAAGTTAACTCAGCCAGAAGGCCATCCATTCTGGTTACACGAATGTCAATCGCAGATATGCAAGGGGTGAATATACGCGGTCTGTCAGTGAAACTACTACTTAAATCCAAGCGTTCTGCAGCTCTCGCACCACATGCATTTGTTTAGCATAAACAACAATATCTGGCAAAAGAAAACTGTTGGGGAACGCCAATGCAAACTGAGGTGAGAAGATGGAACTTTCGCGTCACCAACACCTTTAGTGTCGGTGACGGTTAAAAATAATTGAAATGTAGATCCGATGAAGTATAGCTGAAAGGTGGTATGATCAAGTTTGTTGGACAGCTTATTTGAGCTCAGCAGAAGCCCAACATTTTGGGTGTTTGTTTGTATTAAACAACGGCAAAGGCGTAAGACGGTGAAGAGAGGACCGCTACGACGTGCAAGGCAGCTGTTGGAATAGGAGAATTGACAGATAAAGAATGATGGCCAATTTCTATGAACAGATCTCCACTGTGCTTCCAATGGGCCTTTGTAGCCGCTCACCGGACAATAGCTGGTGTGACACATACTGGATATAGGAACGAACGCGATCAATCGCGACACGTACCAGCTTGGTGCCTGCGCGTTAGTTAACTCGTACGGCAAGTGTCTACGAATCTGCCAATGGCATCACGTGGTCGTATGTGTAGACATGTCAACGCTGTGGGTGTGTGCAGACTACTGACACCCAGAACCAGTGCGGCCTGAAAACACTAGTCATGCTCACTGCTCCCAAATGTATGTTGCGGAGTAACAGGTTGTTCCGGCTAAGCATATTGATGAACCGGCGGTGGCAGATACACATATGTATAGCGTCACAAGCAAGTAAGCGGTTGTTGCCCGAAAGCACATCCCGATCATGTGGGAGCGTCGTTATTGAAAAATCTCATTACCACACAGAAGGAATCTAACGCTAGAAGTGGTGTTCTGATATCATTAGTTCCTTAGTCATAGTTACTACAATGAAGGCAATTCATCCTACCGGTAAGGGCTATTGAGAAAATCCAACTATTTTGCACCTTTTCAACAGAGGCGGATATACAACACTTGTCATGATGGTAGCGGATGTGCTTACCTGTTGCTTGTACGAGGTACGGCCAACCATTTTATCCGCAAGTGCTGTATCGGTTTGATGGATGCTAAACGACAAGCTCCCCGGATGATCTGATGGTGCAGCCTCGAGCTTCATCTGCGACTGCAGCGCGCATGGGACAGAGTATGCGGAGAGAACTGATGCGCTCGATCGGGTGGTGATGTGTTCCATTGAGAACGGATGCTGGTAGGAAGGGTGGATTCGGGTCATTTCCAGTTCGTGACCTTGGCTCGCAGCTTGTCCGGCTCCCTGATACTGTCCTGGCGCTCCGGCGACGGGGTGCGCGGAGGTCGCCTCAGAGAGCTGCCGACTGGCGGTCAACTCGACTGTATGACTTTGCTGCTGTTTCTCCGCATTGATGTCCAACCCAAATGGTGGCACAGTGGGCAGAATGAACAATGTGTTCGGTCCACGCAGATCCAGATCGTCTAAAACAGCTTGTACGTAAGGCTGAGATTAGAGCGGTGGGTAACTTTTGATGTGTGGGGTTCGAAAACAAACGGATGTCTGAGTGACTTTACCTACGAACGGGAAATGGTGAATGAGGATATTTCAACCAAGCACCTAGGTTTAAAATTAATGCTCCATGGTCACACAAAAAATTGCTTTCAGCCCTTCAGTTGCAGAACAGAAAATACCAAGCGATAAAGATGCCCATCAAATTGCTCTCAAATGCGCGCTATCTAAGCCGATCAGAGCCAGTTCATCTGAAACGCAAGCAACTAGTAGGTAGACGGAAAGTTCAGCTCAAAGCATCACGTGAGTCCCAAGTCCCATCCTTGTGTGTTTACAGAAACTTGCTTGTCTATTTGCATTCGTGATAGGCTAAAAAAGGACCGAACGTCAATTGTCGAGTGAAAATTTTTCAACTGTATCCATCAATTGGGTGAAAACTAGTCCAATTGAACAGATAGAACTGAAAACTGACCATACACCAAAGGTATCAATAGTACACTTCTTACACTGATCCATAGGTTGACAGTGATCCGATCTGCATCAGCGTCCGAATATTGAAAGTAGCCAGTTGGAATTGGGAACAAGTATAGTTATTATCAATTAGCAGTTCTAAGTTTCCGCTTACTTCTCTACTGTCTCAGTGAAAAACGCGGGCATGATTATCCTTAGCTGCTTAAGTGAGGAAGCGCTACGTCTGGTTCGATTGACAAACATTTCCCACACGTCCTCCTCTGCGGATATATGGGCAGCCTTGCGTCCGTTGTTCGTCAAGCTGGAACCGACTGTTATCTACCAGAAGAAAGTAGCTATCCGAAATCAGCTACCCTGTAAGATGGTGGATGCGTTTTCATGTGTCCTCAGAGATTTGTCCCTAAAAACTTTCTATGAATTATCCATCTCTTCGCATGAGAAACGTATGTGTGAACGTTTCTGTATGGGGCTACTCAATAAGCCACTTCGAAATAAGCTGATACGCAGACTACCGTGCGGTTCCGAGGAACTGCTGATGGACGCTCGTACACAGGAACCCATGCATCAACTGGACAACGCCAATACCGCTACCAAAATCGGCGAAGGTCATGCTGTGTCCGGCCCCTGCAAAAGTCTAAAGTGCTGCCGTCTGCACCGAAGCCGTTGAATCAACATTGCTGGTACTGTAATCAGTTTGGAAAACAAACAACATTGTGAACATAATCTGCCAATCAAGCTACAGCGACCCCGATGTAGGTATGGCCAATCAGTGTCTGCTTTTGGTTAAATGCGTAATTAATCCCTTAAGCAAAGTAGGATGTATGAATGGTTTCACTTTAGGTATTTTGATCGACACGGGCATGTTGTTCCCTGCTACAATTGGAGGTGGCCAGTGCTTTCGCGGATAGTCGAGCGTTCCCGATAAAGCGACCACGCGTGGTTATGGCTAAAAGGTTGACTTCCTAGCAGTGTCCTTCATAGCCACCCGGACTCGCCACGGAAAATTTTCCGGCACCCACGTGTTCTTAGTATGTCGGAATCTAACTGGGACGCTATTTTGGGAAGGGATTTTCTAGGCCAACATACGGGTACTCTGCATCTCCCCTTCGTGTGTTCGTCCTCATTAAAGCCCTGGTCGATATTGGGTTATCTGTGCTTGCGTGACTCTGTGTGTGTGTGTGTGTGTGTGTGTGTGCGTGTGCGTGTGCGTGTGTGTGGAGTACACCGTATTCGTAACTGCGCGTATCCGTGATCTGTGACAACACCTTCTTTCAGGGCTCATCCGGCTTCCGACGCTCCGCTGGATTGTACTCACTACATGCCGCCAATCGAGGTGACATGTAAGCTGCTAAGGCGATTACCGCTTATTAGTGAATAAAGGGGATTTATTTTGCTTTTGAGATTCGTCGCAGGTAGACTCAGCCGGGCAGCCACCAAACATCCAGGAAAGCGCCCGAGGGCTGTCTCGTCCTATTGGGACTCGTCCATAGCGTGCACCCGGCGAATCCTGCCGGATTCAAACCATTGGCTTTACATTTAGGAGCCAGCGACATGCCACTAGGCCATGGGTGACGACACCGGAGCGCTAAATAATATCTTATTGATCTGTGAGATAACAGACGTTGGAGTGAAGTAACTATACCTCTACTACAAACTATACAAACCCGGACAAAGTGTACGCAAAATCCTGATTACTTCAATCTTTGATAGGTTGTCCTTCAGAAGCTTTTAGCGCTCCTGTTCAAATGCCTTCACCTTGCCAGTGTCAAGCACGATTTCTGCGCCGTATCCAGATCCCGTCAGGAAAAGCTGCGCACGACATACACCGGAAAGAATGCGTCCGGCATACAACCGTCGCCTCTAGAAGTTTTAATCTCACGATCTCCAAGTGCTCAAATGACGGAGACGCCTAATTATTAATGTGACGCGGGTGAGCAAGGCAGTTTCAGTACATACAAGAATGCTACTGATTCCGCAATCGTACCGTTTTACTTGCGAGCATACGACAGTAGGCGATGCAACTTCCTTGCCACCATATATATATATATATATATATATATATATATATATATATATATAGAGAGAGAGAGAGAGAGGTAGATAGATATATACAATACACAATCTGTGGTACAGATATTGTGCCATCGGAATCATGGCTGAATAGGAAAACAATATGAATAATAGGAAAAGAGCAACAACAAAAGCTTTTTTTGTCTATTTTATCACCCACAGTTTTTGAAATGTTTTTTTTCCAGTTTGTTCTTGTTTAGGGGAGGAAGAAGGGACACCGCAACAAACTGATGCACACGTCCGCCATTGACATCGATCTTGAGCCATAACTTCCAAGGTCTTCAACCAGCAAGTATCCGCATCTCTCGGACCCCAACCAGGTAGTCCACAACAACCGGTCGAGGCCAACTGTTTCGTCAGCTTTTTCATGCGGCTTCTCTATGTTGTAGGCTGTCCACCAGACCGTCTCTTCCAGCCCTGTCCAGCAACCGCAAACAACGCACGGCAGGGGTAACGCTGGACAGGCATGCGCAATACGTGTCCCAACTACCGCAGTTGATGCAGTGAGACGAGCTCCTCGAGCGAGTGGCTTTCACGTCCCAAGACACGCTGTCTAACTTCCACATTGCTTACGTGGTGCTGCCACCACACACGGGCAATAGACCGTAGACAGCGGTGCTCGAAGACGGATAGTCTGCGCAAGGCATCTTTACGAATGGGCCAGGTCTCGCATCCGTACTACAGTACAGCACGAACAGTTGCACAATAGACCAGCCCTTTGATGGAGAGACGAATGTCGTGGCGACGCCACAAATGCCTCAGCCTAGAAAAAGCGAGGCCTGCTCTCGAGATGCGCATCGAAATCTCGTCTCCAACAGCCCCGCCAGCAGTGATGCAACTTCCCAAGTAGACAAAGCTCTCCACAACCTCTAGTGTCTCACCAGCAAGCGTGAGTGCAGACAAAGGTATCTGCCACCATAGGCCATAGGACACCGACTTCAACAACAGCACATGTTTTCATTTGATGATGTGGCAAAAGGGACTGGAAGAACTGATATTTAGTGAATTATTTTCAATCATTATCAAAGGATACCCAATGAGCTGGACCTGCCCGTTATGCTTGCCAGACGCTAGCTAAATTATCTAAACATGCAAAGCCTAGTTACATTATGAAACTCGAGTATCATGTTGCCGAAAAATAGAGAGTCGTTACAATAGCTAGTCTACATGTCCTAAGTTGTCTGAAGACTAGGATACAATAGCGATGCTAGTCACCACGAATTAATAAAGATTTCGTTTCATTTTGTGATGAAACGTGTGCAAAGTAAATCCGCAGTTCGGTGAGCAGATCCACAATGTAACACCAACAGATGAGTCTACTAGCCATCGAGGAGTCGCAGCCACGAACTGATACACAAAAATGCTTTGACGAAGTGTTAATATATTACGTGATGTAGCCTCTTTTGACTGAGCACTAACGTAACCTAGGCAGAAGGTGTTTAGAGATGCAGTTCCAGATGAGTCTAAGAACATTCGCTTTTGTTTATTGACACGGCTGTTTTCCGAATTACCTACCTCTCCCTCCTGTGTGACTTATCAAACGTTGGCTTCCTTCAGTTGTGCTAAACCATTGTTTTCAATGGCTGATATTGTCTGCCACACCAAAACATTAGCGTAGGCCAACGAAATCCACGCCCGTTTCGGCCGTTAACTATGGTGGCTTGATAAGCTGCAAATTCTGTGAACTGAAGGAAGCGTAGCGGATGAGGAACATCCCTTGTAACCAGCATTATTTAGCTTATAACCTGTAGCTACAGCTGTCTGTGCTCCAGAGCAGTCTATCGGAGAAAATAATGGTCGGCATATGCAACTAGCATCCAAGTAACAACCATATTTGGTCAACTCAGGGCAACACGAATGGTATTGATTATTTCTATACTGATTAAGCGCAAACAACAATGACGGCTGTCCATAGTGAATGTATTGCAGACAGCTACTAATCGCGCTGCTTTCGGTGGGACAGACGAATTCGAAGCACCGTCTGACTTCTAGCCTGAAAACCGTGATGCGAAGATAGCGCCCATCGTAGAGGCTAGGAAGTGTACGGAAACAAATGTTAGTGGAAAGCGTTGAACTAGTTGAATGGGTGGGTAAGGTATGCACTGACGGCACAAGTGTGTCTTGTCTCTTATCGAGTCCAACCAATGAGTGACTTCCACCGATCGATCGACTGGAGCAATTGGGATGTGAGAACTCACTTCCAACTTAAACCTTTTCACTATGACCGGGATGCGTAACGAGGAACGGCCTTAGGATGCTCAAAGTAGATGGCTCCGGAGAGAATGCTGTTACATTGTCCATCACCCCACAAACTGTTACTTCAATCGCTCATCCCAACGAGAAGCAAACAATGAGCGTAAATCAGCCCATTCCCACACACTTCTCTCACGCATTCGGTGGGTAGATGATGGGCCCATCAAAACGAAGGAACGTCGTAAGTACTATTGCATTATAGCCTTGAGTGCTGGGCTATAATCAGAGAAGTACAAGAATGTGTATTAGACGAGAGCAGTAGTTCGTGTGTACGAATCAATTCGGTTGTTTACAACCCAATAAGCAGTGAACTGACAAATTTACAAGTCCAACTTGCCTTGTACATTGCCATTGGTCCCCAGATTTAAGGGAACATTGAAAGCTTGGCACATTTGTGAAGAAGCTGTCCGAGCCGACGGTGGGTTCAATGTTCCGGGACCCTGAAACCAAATGGTAGATGGAATCGAGTGGTGCTGACATCAGTGTCCTCGAAGAAGAGTTGAATTGTGGATTTATATAATCTTGGATTGTTTGTTAGAAGTTGAGAACAGCCTACATACACACACAGCACTTTCAGTAGAATAGTTCGAATGCTGAATACTAAGAAAATATAGCGAATAGAGAAATCTCTGTGTAGCTATATTTAATATTCTTCAAGCAAATCCACCTATTATAATGCCGGTTCTCGAAATCTCAAGTCGGCAAAGTGCGAGCCCAGGAGCTCCTTAAACTCCGGCACCGACTTTGCTTCCGCCATGTCTTCAGGCAGTTTGTTCCAAATATTCACCACCATCCGCTCGAAGCAGAGCTGGTGAGCGACCCGTTTCAAATCCGGTACAACAAGCTTGTACCGGTACCCTTGTGTGCTTTACTTGGTGTATGCAAATGAAGCAGTGGCCTCAACATGGGTAATCACCCAGATTTAATATCCGGTGCGTCATGATGAGATGAGCCCGCACTCGACGATAAGACAGATGTACAATCCTAGTCTCTTGCACCGGTCTTCCTACAGCACACCTCGTAAACCGGGGATTAGCCGAGTGGCAACATGCTGTACCCGCTCAATCCTTCGCATCTCGCCCCTAGTGAAAGGACAGTAAGCGGGTGAGCTGAACTCTAGCATTGGTCTGATGGTAGAAGAGAAGCGGAGGCTGGCAACCTCTTCGGATCAAGTGCAGAAGTTGCGTCTGAGCGCCCAGAGCATGCACAGTCCGTTTTAGTAAAGCCTGTTAGTGCTTTCAACGGATTTCAAATAGCAGCATGAGAGTAGCCGAGATCTTTCACAGATGACGATGGGTAACTGTTGGCCGGCCAGATTATAGACTCGGCCATTACCACCCTTGCCCAGGCTCATGAAGACCGACCGACCGGGTTGATTGGAAGGTTGGCGTTTGCTGACCACATGGAGAGGCGGTCAAGGTCATGCTGAAGCAGGTCACGGCCGTATGCAACCTGTTATCCTCCATACCTTAAGGCCATCTGCACACGACGCGCAAAGTGAACTGAGAAGCTTAGGCAGGAACAAAATGGGCCCAAAGACTGTGGTTTGCGGGACGCCACTGGTCGAGGGATACCACTCGGTCAGGTGGTTGTCCACCTGACCTGTCATCGTCCGACCGATAGGGAAGTCACCGGTCCACAGGTGCAGTGGGCCACCAACACCGCACATGTTCAGCTTCAGAAGGAGGATCTTATGGTTCCCCTTGTTAAAGGCTTTACTGAAATCGATGTAACTGATGTCACCCGACTTTCCTTGGTTTAGCGCTTGCAGCCATTCGTGTCTCGTGAGCAGCAGGTTTGTGATGTATGACCGACCTTTCATGAAATCGCGGTGCACAGGCGTCACGATGTTTTTCGACTTGAGATGCTGTAGAAGACAACGCTTCACGATCTTCTCGAGTGTCTTAGCCAAAACAGAGGTCAGGCATATCGGTCAGTAGTTGTCCACCTTGCTCGGATCGCTGCCTTTCGGAATCGGTTTCACCACTGAGCATTTCACTTGCTTGCATATGAACCGGCGGACAGCGACCTGTTTAACAGCTCAGTCACCGAAGGCGAGATGATGGTCGATACCGATTTGAGGATCATCGGATGGAACCCATCATGGGCTGTTATCGCGAAGACTAGGGACACCAACAATGGAATTGACATTGTTGAATCGGAGCTTAAGAGCGCTGCGCCGGTAACATTTTCGCCGATCGAACCACAGACATCTGTGCAGTGGAGCATTCTCAAATTACTCTAAGTGAAAATACCAATACGTTAGTCATGCCAAAATGCAACACCTATCGAAGGGCGAGAGATGGAACAAGTGAAATCTCCTGCTGCACTGTTATACTCGGCTAACCAAAGACGTGATGGGGACATACCCAGATCTCCTCTTAATTTCAACACGTTTTCAACATTAGTCCAGGTGAGTCAGCCGTAATTCAGGAGACGATTTTGGCGTATTGCGTTTGGACAGCTCTGCGGATGAGCTCCGAATATTGGGTTTTGAAAACTTTTGCTCCTTTACCGAATACAGACCTCCTCATCGAATGGTTTACAAAGAACAGCAGGACTCCCATTGGCAAGTCCCATTTTTGCGTGTGGGCTTAATGCTTAGTTACATAAGAGAAAGAAAGTTTGGCTTACCCACACGAGGTTGAAAAATGCGATCGTGAAAATTCAGTTTGTAGACAATGTAAACAGGGCATCTTTAGGTAGGGAGTGAAAATACACGTAATGGCAGAAAAGTGGTAGCAATAGACAGTATATCGTGTGAAATGCATAATGTAAAACACAATTTGATATGGTGTGCAGTGATTCGGTCGCAAAGTGAAGGGTCTCCTTAACATATCTTGTTGTCGATGGCTGCAGAACCACCGGGAAAGGCGTGCAGTGAATGCGAACGCTTCATTGAAGGAAGTTGGACGGTGGGATGCACTGCCTAAATAATCGCAGTTACCCAGCTAATTTGTCAGTCAACTACATCCCACTAAATTTTCAAGTATATAATTTCCGTAATGCACTAGCTTCCGCACATTTGGTAGACTGGGTCATGTATGGCTTTACTCGCACGCTGAAACGAACGCTGCCGCAGCAATCACAGCAAAACCCATTAACTCCAAATAAAAGCAAGTGACTTGTTACTTGAATCCCTGTTTAAGTAGCCCAGCTACATAATGGGACGTCTTAAGACCCTTAAACAATGCTGATGTACGTTGGCCAGCGTTATCTACGCTCGGTGAGGATGACGACTTGCGGTTCGAAGGATTAAATAGTCACCCAATCCTAAATGATAAAGCAGGTGACAAGTGGAGTATGACGAATGAGATATATGTGTAGAAGAAAATATTAGAGGCTGCGCTTACCGGTAGTGGAGTGTCTGGTTGGCCTAGTTCGATACCTAGACTGCGTTCACCGTTCTGTTGGGCGCAGACTGCATAGGCGGTATCTGCTTGACTGATCAGGTCAGGTTGAGTGGTCGATAGGATGGGTTGCAGTGTCTGGGTCTCCTGAAGTGGTGCATGCACTGGTGAAGTCATTAGTTGAACAAGGTTCGCGATTTTCCCTTCGGACACAATGTGCCCACCGGACCCATCACCCGATGCAGTCGGAACATTCGACAGGGATTCTGAAACCGCTACTTGTGTGGGCATGGTTGCAATTTGTGCGTTTGCTTCCGCCGGATTTGCGGTCGACAGGTCACTGAAGAGAAATAGCCGAGCAATTGCTTCATCATCGTTTGATTCAATTGGCTGGACAACCGGTTCCTGCGTTCTTAGCAGGCTGTCTAGTTCGGTGGTCAGCTGGCCCAGTGACACGGTACCACTAGTCTGTGGTGACCCCGTGGCAGATTTGGTACGCCTTTGTGCTGTGTCCTGAGTAAACTTATGCGTGACACCCCCTGTCCAGTCGCCCGTCATCCGTCGGTATGTCTCATTTATCCACATGAGAGCGTCTATTTCGGGCTCTTCTTCCTCCGGTTTGTTTTCCGCTCCTGGGTGTGCAAGCACATCGGGCTCCGTACTCTCTGCCATGGTTGCGTAACCACTTGTGGGAACAGCTGAACTAGCACTCATCTCATTTATACCTCTCTCCACATGATCTCCACCGGAAGCTCTGGTACCTTCGCTTTGTGCTCGCTTCATTGACTCGGGTCGATGTAAGTCAGTAACCGAATGACCGCTGAGTTTGTTTAAGAGAGATCCACGACGGTCCACGGATAATGAACGCAATTGCACCAACGATGTGTTCAGTTTTCTTCCGGGATAACTCGACCCGCTCAATATAGTTGAGTACGCACGTCTAGCAGATGATGGGCTGTAAAAGAATGGACGTAAGATGGAGCTATGTCGTCAAAAAGAACTGCGCTTAAGAATACAATGGCTAACGGATTGGCACATCTCGAGAAGGTACTATCGTGTATATTCGCTTCGTACATTATTAATATTTGCACAGAAAAAGGTTGACTCACGTTGTGTGTAAACAGACAAAGGTCTATGTTGAAAAGTTTTCATTTCGTTTCTACAACCAAGCACTATATTTATTTTGAAAGTGGCGACTCACAGAAAAATGCACCAATTGGTAACAGTAACTATTTTTAATTGAAGATGCCCTTTACATATGATTCTTAAACGAGATTCTAGTTCTTTGTGTTCTTTTGCTATTTCGGTGAAAAGAATAGTATCCGGTGAATAATTTTTAAATGTGGTGTACACAAATATTCACATTGTGACCCAACGGAGTAAAAAGTTCGATATCTAGGCCTGGTAGTTATGTGTAGTAAGTCGAATTTTTTCATGATTTTGGAGTAACGTTCACATGCATTTATTTACCTTTTAATACATCAACCACCTTATCTTCTGAAATAGGTGTTAGAATTATGAACATTAAGTAATAAAGGTCCCATTTAATTAGATTACAACTAACACAAGAAGAAGTTTGACAATGGACGATTTGCCACAACGTTTAAGTGAATTCGATTTAGAGTTATGCTGTTCGGATGATTCTGGGGATGAGATTTTATTTTGCCTGACCTGAGCTTCTTCGTAATAATAATACTAATAGAGATATAATCGATGCAGGTGAAGAGAATTTTAAACAATCCAGAAGTCATGCTAACCAAAAGGGAGGCACAGCTATGGATCCCAACAGGTGAATTTCATCTGGTCAACATAAATTGGCAAGAAGAGCTTAGTTTAAGTGATGGCTTCACTTCACCATCAAAATATTTCTTACGATAATTCAGGCCAAAGCTTTGACAAGTTTGCAGAACGGACAAATATTTATCGCATGATTAGAACTGGAAAGATATTTTTGTACAATGGCTACTTAAACGCAAAATTTTTCGGCTTCTCATTTGTGATGGTCAACGTTGGTTTTCCGCATGTATTGACGAAAGGCCACAGGTGTCAATGCAGTTGTATGTATACTGATGTGGAATCGATGCTTGCAAATGGGAAATACTATCCACATTAATGTCGAGCAAAATTCACCTCAGGGAACAAATAAATAATGAAAAGTGAAGCTCCTTACCACAGCATTGCTTGCTCGTTGTCTAAAGCTACTCCGAGAAGAGGTCCATACAAGTGATGAACAAATGATACCATTTACTGGAAGAATGCCAGCAAAACAATTTATTAAAAGAAGACAGAACCCAGTGGGAGTAAAGAACTTTCCCAAGTGTGGCAAGTCGGAAACAGCTATCGACTTTGACTTTATTAAGGTAGTGGAACAGGCGTCCCTGTAGACACAAAACATTTGGGATCTGGCACGTCAATTATCCTGAGATTGTCAGAAAGTATCTCACGAAAAAACATTACAAACTTTGTTTTCAAAGCTACTTCACGGGGATGAATCTTATCAGGGAACCGAAAATGCTAGGTATTCACTATTTAGGTTATGCGAAAGGCAACCGTTTAATAGTTTGTCAGCTGAAGTCTGATAAACATCTACTCAAGGATGGTCGAGGATCTTCAGACTGCAAAGTATCAACGGAAGGGGATATCTGTGTGGTCAGGTGGATGGTAAACGGGGCTGTTACTCTTGCAATCAGCTTTATGGGCATTGAAGAGATGGACACTGCATATCGGTGGGGTGATAGCAGTAAGGAATTTATTCAAGTGAGCAGACCAAAAGGTGTCAAAGTGTATGGTGAAGACATAGGAGGCGTGGATAAGTTGGATCTTCTCATACCTTCGTCTAGAATTTAGGTACAAACAAAGAAATGACCAGTATCGATTATTTCACTTTGCGAAATTTGCTCTTGCAAATTCATGACTGGATTATAGAGATATTGAAATTGCAAATGACATACAAAGAACTCAAATCCCAGATCTCCTCTATTTCAAACGTGGTTGCTAGCACTTTATTTAAAGCACAGTTGACCACACTAAATCCATGTAAACCTGTGGGCAAACTAAGCACATCCACAGTCACAGTTTCTACTGATGCTTCAACAACAACTGCTATGGCCATTACTTCACCTACAGAGCGTGCAAATCATGGGGAGAGACAAGTCCTTGAAGTCAAACATGATACATTTGACCATTTTCCCGTTTGCATCAAAGGAGAAGGACAGCGCTGCACGGTTGAGGGTTGCAAAAGACGCAGCAGGTGCAAGTGTAATAAGTATAACCTGTTTGTTCCAGGTGCTAAAATGGGTTTCAATACAGTTCACAGCAGGAAACAACAAAAGAAGCCATATTACCATATATTTTTAGCCTCCAATTTTGGAACTTTATGTTGCTTGGTTCACAGTGTGTACATATGTACACCTTTGCTTATCTGAGCGTCCACCGTCGAGATGCTCCGTTAACCATGTTATGAGATCTAATATATCAACATCAACGCAAAAAGCAATTTTTGGGTCAAAATACCTTGTCCGTAAACGAAGGGGATATTGTTTTCATGATGGGAGGGGGAGTGCAGGTTAAGCACACTTCAAAGAAAAAAATATATTCGCAGCACAGATGAGGAGGATGCACTGTGAGGCAGTGACAAATGAACGGAAAGTGGTTTATGCTTGAATCTGTAGTGTACCGGAAAACACGCTCTTTCAGTATTTTGCAACGTTGGATATTACGGCTTTTTAACCTTCGAAAAGTCCATTTGTTTTACTGACTGCACATCTGTTGACACAAAGCGTTTTGGTGAGTAACTTGCTGCACCGTTTCTCGCTCTGGTTGATTCGTTCCATATTTTTGTATCGTGCACAATATACGTTGGGATCAGCCGCCTCCGACTTCTATACTGTTCCCTATTTGACACGTCTCTTACGTGTTATGGATTCTCGCTTAGTATCCTACGCGCCACCCAACAATTGGTGACCCCGCTCCAGAACACGCCGTCCGCCATTTTAAATTTTCATTCTGGCGAGCTCGTTCCAGTGATTTTCTGATTCATTACTTGTGATCATATTGTTTCCTTACTTACCACGTTTTTTATTTGCCTTTTGCAATGAGGATGAGCCATCTCCATACGCGGTTAACGCCGTTGATCTTGTCATGTTCAATTCTGTTGCGTTAGCCCCTCCACCATTTTGGGAGAATGATCCTTCGTTATGGTGTTTGCACCTAGAATCCGTTTTTTACACTTGTAGGATTTCTTCTGATTTCGCCATGTATAATCAGCTAGTATCTCGCCTTCCTCAAAGTATATCCTCGCGGGTGAGAGACATCATATTTTGCCCCCCTCTAGTAATGAAATACGAGGCTCTTAAACAGGCTATTATTCAGCGAATCACGCCTTCTGACAAGGTCTAACTGCAGCAACTATTTAGTGATTTGCAACTAGGAGATAAGATGCCCTCAGCCTTGTTGCGCGAAATGCAACAGCTCATCAGCACGTCCAAAATGGACGTAGGAATTCTCCGCGAGCTGTGGATGCAACGTCTTCCTGAAAGCACTCAGGCTATCCTTGCAGTAGCAAGTGACCTACCACTCACAGCAATTGCAGATCTAGCAGACCGCGTCATCGAACGGCACCAGCCAGAGACTAAAACCAAAGCACCTAAGCAGTTTTGTGCGACTATCCAGCCGTCGGCAATAGACGCATTATCATCGCAGATAGCGTCGCTTCAGCGCCAGATCGAGGAACTCACTTTAAACCGTAAGCACCGCAGCCGCTCTAGATTATCGCTCCGTCACACAAAACCTGATGCCAACGGTAACTGCTTTTACCACTCGTGTTTAGGTAGTAAAGCCCGTAAGTGCGTACAACCATGTAACTACTCCGCTTAAGATGATCCGCCACGCCGGCCTGTACTGGCCACCAACGACGTCGGCAAAGCCCAAAGTCGTTTCATCTACTTCAAGGATTATGATTCCGAGACCCAGTTCTTAGTTGATACCGGGGCGGAAGTCAGCGACATTCCCCCTATGCCAGGTGAGCCTATTGCTTCTTTGTCGACTAGTCTAAGTGCCGCCAATGGCACGCCAATAGCCACCTACGGTCATCGGTCGCTTACCCTGGACCTAGGTCTTCGGCGCACGTTCCGCTAGGTATTCACCGTCGCTGCAGTCCCCTTTGCCATCATCGGTATTGACTTTATCAGACTTTTCGACCTCTTGGTCGATACGAAACGCAAGATGATAGTAGACACTGGAACGAAACTCAGTGTATGTGGCATCACCGCCGATATCGCATCTATAACACCAGTCTGCGCATTTCCCTAGATTTCGGTAGACTACGCCAACCTCTTTTCTCAGCATTCTAAGCTCGTTCAGTCAATGAACGCAGCTTTGCCCGTGGCATCCCAAGTCACGCACCACATACGGACGAATGGCCCACCCGTCTCATGCCGTCCACGCCTACTATCGCCCGAAAAAACTAAAGGTAGCTAGGGCGGAGTTTGAGCACATGCTTGAACTTGGAATAATCCGCTAATCCGACCGCCCTTGGTCCGCGCCCCTGCAGATGGTCCATAAGAAATCTGGTGACTGGCGCCCTTGCGGTAATTACCGCGCACTCAGTCGGCTAACCGTCCCAGATAGGTATCCCATCCCACACATGCAGGACCTTACCGCATGCCTCACAGGTAAGACGATCTTCAGCAAGATCGATCTGGTTCGCGCCTATCACCAGATACCTGTAGAAGAAAATAACATTCCTAAAACAGCCGTTCTCACTCCTTTCGGCTTGTTTGAAT